AGACACACCTGCACACACAGTGTGCACACTCATGCACACACACACACAGGTGTGCACACACACACACACACACAGACACACACACAGACACACCTGCACACACAGTGTGCACACTCATGCACACACACACACAGACACACAGACACACAGACACACACACAGACACACACACACACCTGTACACACAATGTGCACACTCATGCACACACACACACGTGTCCAGCTGAGGTCACAGCCCGTTTCTTGCCCTGAGGAACGCTGGTGTTTCCCCAGGCTGGGGCTGTGTCAGAGCAGGATGCAGAGGGAAGAAGGTCTGGCAAAAGGCAGAACACTGCGAGCAGCTGTGGAGCTGCCCCACAGGGCTGGGGACATGCTGGGGGCTGTGGCCGTGCTGGGGCTGGTGGCTTTTACCTGCTGGTGACAGCAGTGTCCAACTCCCTGTGACACGGCTGTTCCCTGTCCCTGGATGGGCTGTGGGGCCAACCCCGCCCCAGGACAGCCACCACAGTCCTGGTCACGGTCCCAGAATGGGGACGGGGACAGGGACAGGGACAGGGACAGGGACAGGGACAGGGACAGGGACAGGGACGGGGCAGGGACAGGGACAGGGGCAGGGACAGGGACAGGGACAGGGACAGGGACAGGGACAGGGACAGGGGCTGGGACAGGGGCTGTCTGCCCCAAGGGGTGGGGTTTAATTCCACCAAGGGATCCCAGGCTTGGTGTCAGTGCCAGTTCTGGGGATGGAGGCAGACAGGGTCACCTCTGCCACCCAGCTACATGTGACAGTCTGTCCCCCACGTGCCGCTGGGAAGCAGCCAGAGCATGAAATCACCTCCCACCATAAATCACCCCGAGCTGGTACCACCCCTTTGCTTTTCCTCACTCTCACTTCAGCTCGGTCCCGTGGGAATGCGGGTGCCCAAAATAGTGCTGACCCCAGGGGCCGGCAGCAGTGCCACTCTGAGCAGTGACACTCTGAGCAGTGCCACTCTGAGCAGTGACACTCTGAGCAGTGTCACTCTGAGCAGTGTCACTCTGAGCAGTGCCACTCTCAGCAGAGCCACTCTCAGCAGAGCCACTCTCAGAGCTGTCCCCACACTCCCTGTGTCCCCGTGCCACCATGGTGAAGTGCCTGGTAAAGATTAAAACCAGGGTCAGCGTCCACCTGTGGCTCATCAACCACTGCTGCCGGGAGGTGCGGGTGCGGGTGCTGGCCCTGGGGCCGCGCCTGCTGTCCCGGGCCCTGGGGATCCTCCCGCTGCTCCCGGCTGGCCCCGGCCACGATGCTCCCTACGGCCCTGGGGACCCGCCTGAGCCAGGTAATGCTGCAACACGGGGTCTGGGGTGTCCTGGGGTGTCCTGGGGTGTCCTGGGGTGCCCTGGGGTGTCCATGGGGTTCCCATGGACTGTGGGCCCCGCGGTCAGCTGGTGACCACGGCCCCGGGAGCAGGTGGGATGCAGGAACATGGGATGCAGGAAATGCGTGGCAGGGCGTGGGCTGGGGTCCCTGAGGCTGGCTGGACCCCAGGTTGTTATCAGCACAGAGCAGCTCTGGTGGTGGGGCTGGACTCAGATTTCCCAGGATTTTCTGTCTTCCCGTGGAAGCAGATGGCAGGAGGGTTTGGGTCTGGGGGCAGCACTGCTGTCACTGTGGTGATGAGCAGGGCAGCCCCTCAGTGGCTGTCCCCACGCTGGGGACACAGCAGGTGCTGCAGGGAACGCTCCCATGAGAGGGGAGAGCTCAGAGCTGGCAGGGTGAGAGCGGCTTCCCCCGGGCTGAGCTGGAGCCATCCGGGCAGCGAGCGGGAACGAGCGGCTGCAAATCCCCGGGAATGCGGCCGGATGAGCTCCGGGTGCTGCCCTTCACCCTTGGGCAGCCAGGACACGTGTGACAGCGTGCCGAGGTGCTTTAGTGCGCTGTGCTATTCCCCCGGCCACAGGTCCAGCCCCGTCCCTCTGCAGCCCCTCTGCGGGGTGGCCCCGGGGACCAGCAGGTCCCCACCGTGACCTTCAGACACCCTCCCTGGAGCTGGGGCCACTGCAGCGGCAGAGATCCCATTCCCCCCTTGCCAGAACTACCCGAAACAAGTCCCGTATGTTTGTAGTTTCTTGGGATTTGGGCATTTGGAGGAGATGTTGGTAGGGGCAGCAGTTCCTTGGCACAAAGGACCAAAGCTCAGCCTGGTACGGGGCTGGGAGCTGCCTCGGGGGCTGGCACACAGCTCCTGCCACGGCTCCCGCTGGCGTGTGAGCGATGTAAAACGTTTGGTTTGTGCTCAGCTCAGAGCAGCCTGTGCTGCAGGGGCTGCTGCGTGTGCTGGGGACATCTCCCCCCGTGCCATGGGGACACCCACCCCTGCCAGCCCAGACAACCCTCTCTTCACACCCCTCCCAGCCGCGTTTCTCTCATTCCCGGCCATCCCTGCCCTCCCAGCCGTGTCCCGGCAGCTGCCCCCGAGGGGCCCCGGGGCTGCCAGGGGCTGTCACTGTCACAGCCGGGCCCTGCCGCGCTCCGGGCCCGCAGCCAGCGGTGACAAAGCGCCGCAGTCAGGAGGGGCCGCGGGTCCCGAAGGACCGAAAACAAGAACGAGAAGAAGCCCAGGGCAGCCGCGCCCCGTCCCCGCGGGGACACCGGGGCAGGGCACTGCGGGAAGCGCCGGGCTGTGGAGAGGGACCCCCCCCGCACCCCGCTGAGCGTCCCCCCGTCCCCTCCCCTGTGTCCCCAGGCCTGGAGTCCCTCCGTGACAGCGCCCACTCGACCCCGGTGCGCTCGGCTTCCCACGGCGACGCCTTCGCGGGTCCCGGCCGGGGCGGCCGCGCCGAGAGCAGCGAGCGGGTGGCCGTGATCGCCGACGAGAGCTACAGCCCCGCCGACAGCGTGCTGCCCACGCCCGTGGCCGAGCACAGCCTGGAGCTGATGCTGCTGTCCCGCCAGGCCAACGGGGCCCCGTGCAGCATCGAGGAGGAGAAGGAGTCGGAGGCGGGCACGCCGGCGGCGGAGGCGGAGGGCGAGCTGCGGGCTCTGTGCCCGGGCGCCGGGGGCCTGGGGCCGGCACAGGCCCAACAGGTGAATAAGTTTCTTTTAAGTGTCCTCCGTTTGCTCCTTGTGACAGTTGGACTCCTCTTTGTTTTGCTCCTCCTCCTGATCGTCCTTACCGAGTCCGACCTTGACACTGCCTTTTTCCGTGATATCCGCCAGACCCCAGAGTTCGAGCAGTTCCATTACCAATACTTTTGTCCCCTCAGGCGATGGTTTGCCTGCAAGCTCCGCGCCGTGGTAAACCTGCTCATTGACACCTGAAGGCAGGAGCCACCACGGGGGCCAGGACCTGCCGCCGGCACTCACTAACCCTCCCCTCCCGACCCAGAGCCCGGCCGGCCGAGGAGGCGGCTTTCCGGGAGGAAGAGGAGGGTGGGCGCAGCCCCCGGAGCCCCCTCCTCCCCGTGCTCCCACCCCCGGAGCCCGCACACCTCCCACCCCGATCCCCCGCGCACGACTTGGGAAGCACCGAGCAGAGGGGAATTCGCTGCTCCGCCGCCCGCGCAGCGGCCGGGGCTGGCGGGGCCGTTCCGCAGGAGCTTTAGCAATGGTGCTACTGAGGTTTCATTTAACACTCGTGTACTGTTACGGTATTCGGTCCGCACTGTGCCCGCCGCCCCCGCCCTCCACGAAGCTCTTGGCAGAGCCCGCCCCGCTCCCCGGAGCCTCCTGCGAGGGGACGCGGCCGCCCCGGGTCCCCTCCCCGCAGCGCGGCCACCCGGAGCCCTCGCCCTGCTGCGGACTCGGCCCTTCGCCTCTTTTCTAAGCCTTGAAGCGTCGGTGCTCCCGGGGGCAGGGGAGCATGGAAGCCAGGGGACGCCGGGCACGCGCGGCCAAACCTGGCGTGGAGCTGGAGTGACTGTGTCAGATTTCTTGGGATGACCTTTACCCTCCGCCAGCTGTACCTGTTTTGTAAAAAAAAAAACAAGCAAAAAGGAAAAAAAAAACAACCAAAAAAGAAGAAAAAAAAAAAGAGACATTTCAAGGTCTATTTTAACAAGGAAATGCTATTTTGTTATCAAATCTAATCCAGTCTTTTTTTACTTTACGGATGGGTGACCGTGGGTGCCGGTACCAAGTGGCTCCCAGTAATGGTTTAAGAGTAAACGCCGGGAGCCCAACGCCAGCCGAGCCCTGCTGGGTTTGGGACAGAGAAGGAGCTCTGGTTTTGGGACTGTTCCCCGGAGGACACGAGTTCAGAAGCGCAGGTGACACTGAAGAAGCCAAGGGCCACCTTTAGCCCCGAGCGTCGTTGAGTGCAAGTCAATAAACCCAAGTCACGGCACCGCTGGTCACCAGGAGCAGCAGCCCATCCACAGGGAGCAATAACAGCCAGTTCTGGTCAGGTTGGGGTGACAAGTTGGACATATCAGAAAAAAAAATAAAAAAAAAGAAAAGAAAAGAAAAAAAAAACCAAACAAAAAAAGGGTAAACACAGTTGAGCAAGTTTAATTTCATCTCAGGGAGAGATTTTTCCGTAAGCTGGGGCCATAACTGCAGTTTTACAAAGCCTGATGTCCGTGTTGTCTCTGAGCATCCACCACCCACCGGTGACCGAGGGCCACACGGGCTCTTGTCACTGCAATAAGGGGAGAGGTCCCGTCGGGGGACACAGTCCCCCTGGCCAGGGCATGGCCCGCTCACAGCACGAGGCCCGAGGAGGGGCTGGGGCCCAGCCCCGGCTCAGAGCAAGGCAGGAACCCTCGGGGAAGGATCCAGGAACTCTCTGGGAAGGATCCAGGATCCCTCCAGGAAGGATCCAGGAACTCTCTGGGAAGGATCCAGGATCCCTCCAGGAAGGATCCAGGAACTCTCTGGGAAGGATCCAGGATCCCTCCAGGAAGGATCCAGGAACTCTCTGGGAAGGATCCAGGATCCCTCCAGGAAGGATCCAGGAACTCTCTGGGAAGGATCCAGGATCCCTCCAGGAAGGATCCAGGAACTCTCTGGGAAGGATCCAGGATCCCTCCAGGAAGGATCCAGGAACTCTCTGGGAAGGATCCAGGATCCCTCCAGGAAGGATCCAGGAACTCTCTGGGAAGGATCCAGGATCCCTCCAGGAAGGATCCAGGAACTCTCTGGGAAGGATCCAGGATCCCTCCAGGAAGGATCCAGGAACTCTCTGGGAAGGATCCAGGATCCCTCCAGGAAGGATCCAGGAACTCTCTGGGAAGGATCCAGGATCCCTCCAGGAAGGATCCAGGAACTCTCTGGGAAGGATCCAGGATCCCTCCAGGAAGGCTCCAGGAGGTGGAGGAGAGATTTTTTTTACATGATAATCCTGTTTTATGCAACATAGCAAAATTAACTCTTAGTGTAGTGTTCCTACCTCAGCCCATAGCGCTGATGTTTCTATGCAGTTGTGCTCGTCCCGACGCTGACATTTTTTACCCCTGGGTTAACGCTGCAGTGTCGTCCTGCCTCCTCCTCCTCCTCCTCTCCTCACTGCAATGTTCTGTGTGACGTGTGACAGCACAGCTCCATCCCTTGGGAACATCCTCCGAGCCCCCACCTGGGACCTTCCACCTTGGCTTTCCTCGGGTAACGCTCTGTGCCAGCCCCAGGTCACCTCTGCCGTTGTCACCCAGCGTTTTACTGCAGAACCACGAGAATTGGTGATTTTCCCCTGTACGTTTCTCCCGTCTGTCCCAGATCCTGTTGTGTGTTTCAGGCCCTGTTAGTTTTACCCGTCTTTCTATCAAAATGTTGTTTCTGTAGGTTCTGAGATCAGAAACCCATGAATCTCGTCCTAGCATACTGCATCTTTCAGCAGTAGACAGTAAAATACCTGAAAATGTGAATTTCTTAGTTTTCATAAAGAAAACCTAGAGATTAACCTTTCATGTGCCAAATACTGTAAGTTACATCTTTTTTTCCTTCAAAATGTACCTTTTTCTACATATCCAATACCTTAGTTAGCATAAAATCATTGGTGCCATGAAAAGTATTTTTAAATTTAAATAAATATTTAAATATCATGAAAAGCAGAGTCGGGATGAGCTTTGTTCAGTGATTCTGATTTTTGTTTACTCAAGTGAAAACAGCTCAAACCATGAGAAATTTGGTCTTTTAGCAGCTTCTCACTGGAGTGAGAGTTCCAGAGATGCAGGTGAGTCCCTCGCGTGTCTCTGCACTCCAGGAGCACAATTCCACAAACTGCACCTGGGAGTTTTGGGCCCCTCGCCACAAGGAAGGCACTGAGGGGCTGGAGCTTATCCAGGGAAGGGAGCAGAGCTGGGGAGGGAGCTGGGGGAGCTCAAGGATCACTTTAATTTCCATGGAAGACCCAGGTACCAAAGGCAGTTTAAACAATTTATTTTAAGACTTTCAAAGTACATTTCTGTCCTGAGAAACAACAGTCAGCTTGGGAACTGCTGAATACGGAATGAACAAAGTCGATGCAGAAAGGAGGGAATGAAGATCTAAGGCACTTCTATTTGAACACGTGAAGGCGGCCGCTGGAGTTGCCTCCCACCAGGATGTTCTGGCTGGGGTGCACGACGTTGATGGAGCACACGGAGGCGAGGCAGTCCACGTTGCAGAAGGAGTGCAGCAATTTCCCGGTGTCCTGGAAGACCTGGATCTGCCTGGGCTGTGCCATGCTGCCCACCAGGAAGCAGTGCTCCTGCTTGGGGTCCCAGATGGCCCTGAAGCGCGTCAGCCAGCGGCCCGTGTTGTTGTTGTGTCTGCAGGGGAAGAGGAACATTCCTCCTCATGAACAAACCGTCATTTATGTCCCACCTGCTCCCCTGCCTTCTGAACCTTCAGCATCCACGCTGGAGTGCTCAGATTGCTGGAGTGCTCAGATCCCTGGGATGGGCAGCATGGGACAATACCAGAATGGTTTGGGTTGGGAGAAACCTTAGGGAACAGCCAGTGCCACCCTGCCATGGCAGGGACACCTCCCACTGTCCCAGGCTGCTCCAAACCTTGTCCAACCTGGCCTGGGACATTCCAGGGATCCAGGGGCTGCCACAGCTGCTCTGGGCACCTGTGCCAGGGCCTACCCACCCTCAGAGGGAACAATTCCTCCCCCAAAGCCCATGTATCCCTGCTGTCCAGCAGTGGGAAGCCATCGCCTGTGTCACATCCCTCCAGACCCACAGGAGCAGCCACGGTCCTTGGCCCAGGTGTGCTGTCGTTACCTGATGGAGCTGAGCAGTTTGGCAGTGGGTGACAGGGATGTGGTGTCGTAGACCCTGGGCACAGAAGAGCACATTAACACCATGAACCTGTCCCACAGATCCAGCCCTTCCCTCACGGAGCATGGCCCGGGAGTGCGGGGTGCACGGAGCAGATCCCAGCTGGGAGCTGCAGCTGCCCGAGGTGCTCAGCTGGAGCTGCAGCTGCCCGAGGTGATCAGCTGGAGCTGCAGCTGCCCGAGGTGCTCAGCTGGAGCTGCAGCTGCCCGAGGTGCTCAGCTGGAGCTGCAGCCTGCCCAGGAGGGGCTGCACAGCCCCAGGGCCATCCCAGCTGCTCCTTCACCCCCGGGACCTTGGGGGATGCCTCCCCCTGGGGCAAAACCTGCCCAGCCCACACAGAATCAGGTCATTATCTAAGTTATGGTCACAAAGTAACCAGGAGAAAAAGAACCTCTAACACAAGCAGGCTATTTACACAAGAGCTGATACCATCCTTATTTCAAGTATCAGCTACAAATAAATTTTGTTTCTGAGCGTTTTGTGTGTGTGTTCACCAGCCACGTTTTGGCTGGCTGTTTTTGTGGGTTTTGATTTTGTTTGGTTGTTTTTGAAAGATTAACAGTACCTGTGTATTTTTACTGTTAAACATCCCGAGGCAAAATGAGAATTAGGAAAAAAACAACCAAACAAAAAAAACATTAAAAACGACATTAAAAATATGTGTGCAAGTAAATATTTTATCACTTTTTTTAAGTGATAAAGACGGAAGGTTCTCAATGATGAGTCATGTGGAGAGGTAACAATAATAATAGTAATAGTAATAGTAATAATAATAATAATAATAATAATAATAATAATAGTAATAATAATAATAATGAGGATAAACTGCCCAGTCAGTATTTTCCATGAGGATTCTTCCTGCCACAGCCTTACCTCAGCTTGTCATCAGCACACACCGTGACCACCCTGCTCCCAGTGACAGGTGAGAAATAGGCTGAGGCCACGCTTTTGGTGTGTCCTGTGAGAGAGCTCAGGGGCTTGTTCCCCTTGGCCTTCAGGTACCGAACATCGAAAACACAAACGTCCCTGCAACAGGTACCACACACACTGCAGTAATTATCCTTCATCCACCAGAAAAGCTCCAGAGCACAGCAGGCTGTGTGGGAGCTGCTTCAGAGCTTCAATAGCCACTCAAAGGGTGGCTCTGAGGGATTTGGGGAGCACCAAGACCACCCCAAACCAGCCCTCCATAAAGTCCCTCTGTGCCAAAGCCCACCAGGGCCCATCTGTCCCCACGTGGTTTGGGAAATCAAACCAAATCCCACCATGACTCCTGCTAAGGACTGAAAACCTGTTTTCTAAAAGGACTCTGACAGCTTTGACTCTACACCCAGGCCGAGAAACTCCTGAGCCCCAGCTCTCCCCAGCACAGAGACCACTGAGAAAACAAGCAGCTCAGTCTGGGCTACGTACAGCAAGCCAGCAGCCAGGAAATAGTGTTTGTTGACGGGGTGCACGTGGACTGTCCGTGTCCTCCCCAAGCCGATGTCCGCAGAGAGCTCCGAGGATGCCCCCGGGGTGCGGGTGTCCACCACAGCCACCTCCCCGCCCCAGTGGCTCACTAGGGCACTGCAGGCGTGCTCTTCCAGGAAGTCGAAGCACGAGAAGCTCTCCTCACTCCTGCAGATCTGAGCCCAGGGAAGGTCAAATGTCACCAGGACTAAAGGAAACAGCCAGTTGCTCTAACACCCCAACACTCCCTGGGCTGTGGTTTCATCCTCTCCCTTCGGAATTCACTAAAAACCATGCAGCCCATGTGACAGCCTCACCCAGCCACACAGGTAACCTGTGAAACAGGGATGCTTTCCACGGGGAAATAATTAGGAGATAATTAACCATCCAAACCAGACCAGCAGCTGCACACTCCAAATTCCCTGTCAGAGCATCTACAAGGCACTGTCACCTCTGTGCTCCAGCAATCATAGGGCTGTTGGCCTTGAGCACACACTGAGCAAGGATTAAGGATATCTTTCCCTTCTCCAGCGCTCCAGAAACTTTTAATCACGTGCAGAAATGTAAACTTGCAAACTGGGAGCACCCAGGCTGTCACTGGTGAGTAGGAAACTGCTCCCTATTTATGAGATGTTAACTAAAGTTTGATTCACATGTCTTTGTGGAAACAGAACTTGAACTTTCTTGTTAATAAAACAGCAACAAATAATGACTTGGTGCAAGCAGTGCCTGTGCTTGGTCCCAGCAGTGCCTCACCTCATCAAAGACAGCCCTGGTGACATCGCCACAACGCAGAGTGTCATTGCTGAGGGACAGCAAGTGAGCAGGGTTGCAGGGAGAGAAGTGCATGCAGTTGACCTGGAAGCTGTGAGGGATGAACATGTGGTGTCCTTCCTCAGTCCTGCAGCTCTGCAAAACGACAGATCCCACAGACACAAGTGCTGATCACCAGAGTTATTTGTGTTCATTACTACAACTCTCAAAGCCAAATCTCTGGGTTTTGGATGTATTTTTGGAGGAGGCAGAGGGTGCTGAGTGAGAGGACACTCCAGCACAGGTAATATGGACAGTGAGGCTGTTTCTAGTCCCTAATTATGGAAAACTGCAACTTCCTGCTGCAATCAGTGCCACTGCAGCCACCAGCCCTGGACAGCAGCACCTGGATCATTTTCACCCACACATCTGCTTTCTGCTACCACATCAAAATATGGACACACTGGGTCACTGAGAGCTCAGGCTGAATTTGTGACCCAAACTGCATGAAAGCAGGATCTCCTGTGTCTTCTCTACTAAATTTTGCATCATTTTGTTATTTTAAAAGAAACTGAACAGGTCATTTTGGACCAAGTTCTGGTTCACCCCACAAAGATGACTCTGCTCTCAAACTTCAGAAAAAACAAGGTAGAGCAAAAGGGAAAGCCATTCTGGCAACTCTGACAATCACTCTTGACAAGCACCAGGTACTATCCCTAAGAATGGAAAAACTTAAAACACTCTCATGAGCCTGACAAAATGGCACCCCAGGCTGTGCCCCACCTGCAGCTGTCCTGAACCACACAGCTGTTCAGATGGGGAGCACATCAACCACTCACCACATTCCAGAGGCCGATGTGCCCCAACTTGTCTCCAGCTGCCACAAGGATGGTGCTTTCAGAAGGGTGGATGGCCATGGAACACACCCGGGCTTTCACCACCTTCCTGATGTTCTCCTCGCTCAGCACCATGCTGCTCAGGCTCTCCTGGTACCTGGAAAACCAAAATGACAACCAGCAGAACGCTCACTAGGGAAGGAAGGAGGACCAGACAACCCCCAGTTCTGGCTGCTGTTTTCAGAGCTGTTACCTCTTTATGTCAGGTGTGCCCCGGTCAGCACATTCTGCTTTCAGCTACAGACACAAAGGAGATATTTAATCAAAATCAGAGCCCAAGTGAAATGGCATTATCCAAAAATAACTAATTAAACCAATAATACCTCACTTATCCTCATCCACGTGCCCAGCAAGGCCTCTGTCCATTTACTGTTCTCTGCCTGATCCTCTGGAACCATGGGCAAAGGTCCGACTGGAACCTGAGGCTGGGATGACATTGGCAGTTTTTGTAACTCAAACCAACTAAAACCACAAACAAGGTGAATTGGGACTTTCCCCACACCAGACATTCTGAGAACATGCCTACAACAGGACAGGAAATAAACAGTAAAAACAGAAGGTGACATCATAACCTTATTAAAAAGATGAAGAGAATTTCACTGGCAGCACAAACAAACTGCCTCCCCAGGTTTTCTTCTCTCCTGATACTCCAGCAAGACCTTTATTACAGATTCAAATCTATTCTACAGCTCCATGGAAGATTTAAATTCCTATCTCTCAGAACAACATAGCTTTTACTTGTTGCTCCACCACTGCTTCAAAGAGATGGGAAATATTACCCAGGAAAATAAAACCAGGTCAGAAGTTACAGTGAAATAAAAACCAAAGTAATAAACCTTTGGATTTAAGGCTGCTCAGCTCCATGGGCTGCTGATGTGGAATGTTTTATCTCAGGAGCCTTCTGTGGGTCCCAAGCTGCACCACGTCATCAGCCTGGGCCACAGAGCACTGCCTGGCCCGTGGTGAGAGCGTGCCACCTGCTCGGGGTGACAGAACTGACCCTTCCTTCCTGTCCCTGTGTCACCACTTCCCAACTGCCTCAGGGTCTGCAACGCCCAGTGCCACCCATCAGTGTCACCAGCAGTGCTTTTAGAAAGCTGCTGTGCACCCACTCCTCCTGCAGCCCTTCCCCATCTCACATATTCCTCTGCTGCTGGCTGGGCGAATGTCTCCAGCAGGGGAATGTCCAGCGGCTCCACCCGGAGCAGGCGCCTGGATCGCCGCCGGGCCGGCTCGTCCTCCACCTTTTTAGGCTTGGCCCTGGAACAATGGGAACATCTCAGTTACAGAGCTCTGCCTTTAGGGACAGAGCCAAGGGCACAGCTGGGACACGACTGACACCAGCCCATGCTGGCCCCAGCAGGAGGAATGGGATGCTTTTCCTGCCCGTGACAGCGAGGAACAAATCCACAAGCACTTTGCAAAGCACGCACAGGTGCCACCCCTGTTTTCCCTGGAGTACATCCCACCCGGGCCGCTTCCTTTCCCGGCTCTCCTCATTCATTATCCACCCAGCCATTCACTCACCAGGCCTCTCCCACCCTCTCCCATCACACAGCTTGCTCTTTATTTGGGCTTCAGCTCATTTTCTGCTCGACCTGGCACTGCTCTGGCACAGCTAATGTCTTCTCCTCCACTGCTCACCCTCTCCCTTGCACCTTGGTCACACCCTCTCTTTTTTGCTCCCACCTTTTCCCAACATTTGTTTTCATCCCACGATGAAGAACTGAGGATATAAATCTCATCTACTGTTACTGTACCGTTTAGTGACATAAGATCGCCTTTTAGTTGTAAGTTGTTCAAGTCTTGCAGCTGACTTAAAGAGAAAAATGAGATTAATTATAGATAATGAGCATAAAGAATTAACCTGTATAAAATACAATTATCTCAAGGCAGCAATGAACTTACTGCAATTATTTATAAAAATAAGAAAGAAACTGTGGTTGCCCCATCCCGTAAATGCTCCAGGCCAGGCTGGATGGGGCTTGGAGCACCCTGGTCTATGGAAGGTGTCTCTGCCCATGGCAGGAGGTGGAACCAGAGAGCCTTTAGGGTCCTTTCCAAACATTCCAGGATTCTGTGATTTTCATGGCTTTCCTCATACACAGCTACCCCAGTGAGGAAAGGGTTTCACACCAGGAGGGATGACAGTGCAATTACAACACCTGGAAAGAGCATTTTGATGCTATTTATACCCTGTACAAACCTCATGCAGCTTTAGAGCAGCAAAGAATTTAGCATTTTCTGTAATGTTCTTGAGTCTTTTCCTTTCATAGGCTGATAGGTGGGAGTATCCATCCTACAGAAAGAAAAGCCAGTTACTCTCCATCATACAGTTATATGTCTGCAAGAGAGCTCCCAGGCTTAGGGAATCTCTAAACTGATTAAATTATTTTTAAGTGCTTTGATATAATAGTAACAATCCTAAGACCATATAAATTGAGGTGGTCATGTATCAACAGCAAAATCTGTCCATACAGGCCCAGATTGCTTTACAAAACTTACTCTGGCATTAACTCTATGAAAAGAACTCTATGAAATTTTTCAATAATATAAACAATAATGAAGAGACTCAATAAAGAACTTAAAACTTCAGTGAAAGGGTAAAATGAAGTGGGACACTGACAGCCAGAGGTCAAAAGTGGGGGGGAGAAACCTACGCACAGAAGGAAACCACTTTAAAGCTTTACTTTTATAAAGATAATAACCGGGGCCCGGGTACTCACCGGGGCCGCATCTCCCCCGTCGCTGCCGTCGCTGTCCGCATCCCACAGCCCGTCCTGGCCGCGGGCAGCCGAGCTGGGGCCGGGCGGGGAGCCGGGGGGGGCTCTGGGGCCGCTGTCGGGCTCCGGGCGCAGCCTCTTGCCGGCCGGGCCGCGGGGGCTCGGCAGCCGCTTCTGGGGCCGCGGCCAGGCCGATGCGGGCAGCGGCGTCAGCAGCACCCGCAGCTGCCGGGCCGGGCCCGGGGCCGCGATCGGCCGGGGCTCGGCGGGGCCTGACGGGAGCGACTCCCGCGGGGGCTCGGGGGGCTCGGCGGGGCCCGATAATGGGGACTCCGGCAGGGATGAAGGGGGCTCGGTGGGGCCCGATGTTTGGGACTCCTGCGGGGGCGAAGGGGGCTCGGTGGGGCCCGATAGTGGGGACTCCTGCAGGGATGAAGGGGGCTCGGTGGGGCCCGATGTTTGGGACTCCTGCGGGGGCGAAGGGGGCTTCGCGGGGCCCGATGATGGGGACTCCTGTAGGGATGAAGGAGGGTCCGCGGGGCCCGATGATGGGGACTCCTGCAGGGACGAAGGAGGCTCGGCGGGGCCCGACGGGAGCGACTCCTGCGAAGGCGAACGGGAGTCAGCGGGGACCCACGGCGCGACCCCCGGCACCGCTGGGCCCTGAACGCCGGCCTCCCCGCTGCTCACCTCCCTCCGGTTTCTCTCCTCACAGCCCAGCTCCTCTCGGATCCCCTCTCCTGCCAGACCCCGGCTCTCATCCCATCTCACTTCTCGTCTTCCCCGGCCCCTCTCCTCCCGGCCCCTCTCCTCCCGGCCCCGGACCTGCGGCTGCTGCCCGCTGTGCGCTGACGGCTCCTCGGGCTCGGGCGGCCCGGGCTGGGACAGCGCCATGGCGCGCGCGGGGCGGAGCGGCGCTTCCCGCCCGCACAGGGGCGGCCCGGCCGGGCCCGCCCTCAGCGCCCGCAGCGCGCCCAGAGCCTTCAGCGCCCTCAGCGCGCCCGGAGCCTTCAGCGCCCTCAGCGCGCCCGGAGCCTTCAGCGCCCTCAGCGCGCCCGGAGCCTTCAGCGCCGGCAGCGCGCCCGGAGCCTTCAGCGCCCTCAGCGCCCCCGGCGCCTTCAGCGCCGGCAGCGCGCCCGGA